TATTTATGCTGGTGCAATTACACTTCTTACACACACACACTCTCTCTCTCTTACACATGCACATACCCCCACTTCATAAAGTCAAAACGCGTGTGTGTAAGTTGCATATACATGTACGCATATTATACACGCGCTTTGACTTTATGAAATGTGTGTGTACATGTGTATGTACACACAGAGATCACATGCATGCTAGGGATTTGAGTATGATCATGGGACAATTCTGGATCTATGTCTAAACTATGAAAAAAGAAAATTACATATGCTGCGACTACATTAATAATCCACTTCCTTTGCTATCCCTGCTACTTTCAGAAAATTCTGCGACTGGAAATAAGAACTTGACTGGACCACTTACTCCTTTGGAGTCAGTTTGTTTGCAATTACGCCATTTGCTCATGCCCTTTCATGCTATTGAACCCTGGAAATTCTCGCTAAATCTCTAGCTCTCCAAACTGCTTAAACTGAATTCAAAACCCGTCCCTTGGCAATGAATACAATTCTGATTCCACACACACACACAAAGGAAAACTAAAATAATTTTATTTAAAGAACACCACAAACAAAATCCGTCTCATACTGGCTCTGATTCTTTAAAATGCTTCTTACAACCTATTCATTTCTGAAAATGCAAAAGTTTGGACGTCAGTTACTGGAAACCCACACCCATTTTGTTTCACGCGAATATCTCTAGATAAAGCTTTATTTTCTCCCCACCCTCAAAATTGGTTTTTATTATCAGTCAAAACTAATATAATCTTTCTGCTCATCACCACGGAAAAATATCTTGACGTGAAAATAGAAAGCTCTTTGAGAAGACAAGTTGGTAGGGATTTTGATAAACTTGACTTTGGATTTTGTTTGTTTGTAAGTCAGCTGTCAGATAAAATAATGCCATTAGATGCGGAATAAAATACAAATAATATTTTGGACTATATTTTTCTTGAAAGGCCAGTTTTTAAAGGTGATTTTGTATGAAGAGATCTTTCATAGGCACGACAGAGAGTATAAAACATCTATCTGCTTTTCTGGTGGTACCCATCGACAGAGGATGTATGTGAGAAAAACACTATGCCACATGCAGGTCTATGTACATGCATATACAAACTATATAGTCACTAAACTGCTTCGTTTTTGCTTGATTTCTACGCATATTGGCCACGGAAGCTATTTCACCCATGCACCACAGCCAAGTAACAAAATCCGTTGCTTAGATCTCTATCCGCTTCCAATAATAGTTTGTCCTATGTATTTTACTCCAACTTTTCAAAGAATTCTTATATATACTTCTGCTTAATGAGCTAAAAGCAAGACTTAAAACAGTCTATCGTCAAATTAGGTCTACAGGACAACAGAGTATTAAAATGAACAAACATTTCAACCCCATGAAATCCCCACAATGAAAATACGATATGGTAAATGAACATCTCTTTTTCCCACACTTAAAAATCTGTTTCTCACACAGAAACGTTTTTGCCTTCACAAACAAGATCCCATTCGACAGAAAAAAAAGGGTTTTCCAACCAGCAATGAAATGAAGCACAACACACAACACACAACTCCTGAGCCTGAGATGTTACCGAGCAAGTAAAACAGTGTAAAAATTCGCCTCACGCGACCATGGCAAACATTTGATTAAAAAATAACACGGGGTCCATTTCTGGCTGAACCGATTTAAAAAAACAAAAACAAAAAAACTCGTGGTCATTTTAGCCTATTTTAAAAGACAGTTAACCTTATCAAATACAAACCGCTTGTAGCAACCACCTCTCTACCTACATCCAGGGACAAGGCTGCCCTTTTAAAAGGAGATGGGGTGTGTGTTCACACATTTGACTGTTCTATTTTCTCAGCCATGTTTTAATTATGATGATAGTGGTGGTAGTTATTTCCAGAAAGGCTTTACACCCGACTGAAGCAATTCCGACATAAGTACGGCGAAGTTGGCAGTGCACCACGCTGATTACTTGCAGAAATCAATTACCGATCATGAATGATCCCTTACCTTTGGCTTCGTTGTCCGAATTCTCTGTACTGCTGTCAGTGCTTTTAGTCAATTCCTTCTCTGCTTCCGAGGGGCTTGCTTTTGGAGCCGGGGCGCTGGTTTCTGTTTTAATTTCGTTGGTGGACGTGTTCTGGGCATGGTCTGTTTTTGTGTGATCAGGGAAATTCACTTTGGCCGCGGGCGGCGGGGCGGGTGGCTCCAGGTGGTCATTCCGTGGGTTCAAATTCGCCCTGGATTCAAAACTTGCCTCAAACTCATTTGGATTGTTGCAGTTTGGCGTCTTCTCCAGAGAGGCATACCCTTGGCCGGCTCGGTAGTAGCTAGGAACAGGGACTTCATGGTCATTTAGGCAAGACTCGGGCATTTGGTTGGGGTAGAGGGCGTTTTCGGTGGCATTTTTCGCCCTCTTGTCAGAGTTAAACATGCAGCAAACATTCTCTTCTTTGACACTGGTGGGGAAGGAGCAGGAGGGCAGCTGCCGGGCAACAGGTTGCTCGATTCGGTAGGTATTTTTGGGGTCACACCAAGTGTCTAGCTGAGACAGGTAAGATGGGTAGGCGTTGAGAGCCAGGTTGGTGTTAGTCACCTCGTCTCTTTTGGAGAGAGACGGCGCGATTCCACAGTTTCTCATCACTCCGCAGCTAAAATCGCTCCCCGCCTGCATGTACATGCCGTGGCTAGCGGAATAATTCTCGCCCCTACAGGTACCGGCCAATGAGTCCATCAAAAAGGAGTTAGCAGTCACATTGTTGGGACATGACATTGTCAGGGAGGGATTTTAAAGAGGAATACTACAGCCAAGCGCTGACATCTTTTTTTTTTTGCAAACGAGGGGGGGGCGGGAAAATAGCAAGCCCCATAATTATCCACGCATTGGTCCCCCACCACGTGACGGCCAGGCCAATGAGAATTGAAAATGGCCTTGATGATTCAGACGCCCGTGACGTCACAAGGGTCAAGTTGTTGCGAGGGGAGAAAACTCGCGTAGAAAACAACAAATAATCCAGTAGCACTTTAAAGACTAAAAAAACCATGTAGATGGTATCATGAGCTTTCACGGGCACAACCCACTTCTTCAGATAACTGGAGTGTTGGAAGTCCAGATCAAAGAATAAAAACGGGGGGGGGGGGGGCAGACAAAAAAAAAGGGAGGGGAGCCAAAGCGTAAATACAAGCAAAGTCAAATCCAAATTAAAAAGGTCAGGAAATAACCCACTTTCATGTCTCTCCTTCTCCTTGCCTTTTCTTTCCTTTATTGGCTGAAATAACCCAATTTCTAAGCAAAAGGGAGAGCCTCTTCCCCCACCCTCTGAAAAAAAAGCCTTAATTTAACTTTCTCCCCTTTCTTTCCTCTCTCTCTTCTTAGCCCCTATTCCCCTCCTTTTCTTCCGCCACAGAACTTGAAATATTCCGGTTCCTCTGATTTGGGGGCTTCATCGGACGCTGAAGTAGATTTCTGTTTGTTTGGAGTCTTTTTTTTTCCACGGTGCGTTTGGGTTTAAAGGCTGGACACGTAGGAGCAATTCCTCTGTAGACTTCTACTTTGGTTTGTAAAAGGTATTTGGCATCAGTAAAATCATGTTAAAAGTTTCACCGGGAGGGTTTCATTCTTTAATGTGGATGCTTTGGTTGGCCCCAAACGGCTAACATGGATCTGTTTGTATATTTGGAAAGCAGGGTTTGGGGAGGGGGTTAACTTTATAAAAAGCCGTTCCGTTTTTATTTTCTTTTTGCAGAGTCGAGCGGCTTTGCAACCCCAGACATCAACTCTGTAAAAAAGTCTTGGTTTTTTTTTTAAGAATCCACTTCCAATGTTAACTTGCCTTTAGTTTCTTTGCTGAAATAGCGTTTGTAGTATGTACAAAGCTTGGGAAATAAATATATTCGTGTGGAGGAAATAAGGGGGTACATTTGATCAATAGAATCAGTCTTTAAATAAAAAAACCGACCTTCGAGCGATTGTGGGGTGTTGCTTTGGTTTGTTTTGCCTCTTCTGGAAATTAAAAAAAAAAGAATCAAAGCTGTATTTCACCAAAATTTAGTACATGGATTTCCCAAAACAAACTTTCCGATTTGGTAAGATTGTTTACTGTGGGAACAAAAAGAAAAAGTTTGTTTCCTGACAGATAATTTCACCTTCCCCATTTTGTTAAACTCTCCCACTGTTATGTGGGTTTTTAACTTCCCCCCCATTTCATGTAACGACCACAGAACAATTACTACCATTTTAGGTGGAGATGGAATTTTTACCGTTGTGTTTTCCTTTAGCCTCATTTCTTTACTGGACATTTCCTGAACTCCTGTACAAATTAAGACAAACTGTTTAATGTATATTAATTTTACTAGCGGGGAGGGGAGTGGGCATCCCTTGTTCGAGACGCTGATTTTAAGTGAGGTGAGGGATGGAACTTGCGTATAAATAAATAAAAAAGCAAGCAAGCAAGAAAGCCTCGAATTTCAAGATCATTGCAACCGATTGGAAAGACACGCGGGGTTCAGAGTCACTTTCAAGGGGAAAAAAGCTACCCCGAGACCTTTCACGAGGAGGAGGAAGGAGCGAATTCGAAGGAAAAATTACAGAGAAACATGGAAAGTTGAATCGGAGCATTTTGCGTGATTTTACCGCTTTACGGATCTCTTTCCTTAAAATGTCACGGAACCATTTCCCAATTCTTTCGAGTAGCTTGCCAAACCGTCTCTTTTTCGCATCCTCCAGTGTGACAAATTTAAATCTCTTAGGCCGAGACAGCCTAAAACTGCATTATACAATTTTGTGCCCCCCCAACACACACACACTCACACACACACACACTTATACAACATAGTAAAAGGTTTCCTTCGCTTCAGACGCCATTTGGTTCCCCTGGAAAGCTATTTGCAACTTTATTGCCTCTATTTGTGTTATCCGCATAGGTCTTTTTAAAACACTTTGATAGAAATCGTTCAGTTTTATGATATCCCACGAAAATTCCACATAATATTTATAAGCGAAGGATAAAAATTTAGTATGGGAACCAATATTTTCTCATTTATAGGTGATGAAATTAAAGACCAACGCAATTTTGTATTATACAGCTTCTCCCCTCCCCTATTCCCCCCCCCCTACTTTATTTTTGCAGCTGATCTGGCTACCCAATAATTTATGCTGGTCAGTCAAACATTTCACATGTGTATTTCTGGGACATCAGAATTTGACCTCATAGTTTCCTGGATTGTCTGCTTGCAGATTAAATATGTTTTCCTGATTTTTGCCCTGTATTCCTGTGGTTTTGTTAAAGGAAGATATCAATGCGTTGTAAGAACCCTAATCAAGATGAAACATAACATCAAATAATGTGAATTCTCTCTCTCTCTCTCTCAGACCCGGAAGACTTTATAGACTCTGGAGTAAATATCGTACCAGTGCGTGAGGTTGGGAACAGAAGAACTACTGTGGAAGCGTCGTATTTTATGAATGTGTAAATGTTGTGTATATAAAAATAAAGATTTACATTGTTAACAGTTATTTTGTTCGCTAGCTTTTGCCAAAACAATCCATTCGTGCAAACGTCTGGAAGATTCGAAACTCTTCCAAGCTGCTGTCTAAGATCTTTTGAAACCAACAAGACTGTTCGAAGGGGAAAAAATGCCTCCGTTCTATCATAAAATAATATATGATTTTTAAAAAAGCGTCAGCATAGCTTTTATTGTTATCTCACAAGGGAATCCAGGTTAGCGAGGAAAACCGAGGACATCTCCAAGAGACCGAATATTGTTTAAAGTTAAAAATAATTAGAAGTATGATAAACATGGGTCATTAATGGGAAAAGAAATAAAATTCATCAGCTTAAGTAGAACCCCCGTTGGGAAAAATGCTCTCCTCTAATTACAGAAAATAAATACGAACAAACGCTATTAAAACTTAAAAGGAGGGCTCCTATGTGTGGTAAAGACTTTAATAACCTACTTTGAATTTTACACACTTTTAGGAAAAACAATATAGATGCTGAAGGCTCATACACACGAAACACACTTGGATGCGGGTATACCTAGATGGCACGCATTCCCAAAGATGTGTACACATGGTCATGGATAGCTCTCTGTTGCACGTGGACTTATGGAATAACCTGGGGTATTTTATTTATACCAAACTAAGGAAGTCTATGTCACCTCAGTGTGTGTGTGTGTGTGTGTGTGTGTGTGTGTGGCGGGAAGGGGGTGCCTTTCCCTCACAGCCCATGTAAATGGAACAAGACACTGCTGTTCTGTTGTTATCCTTACTGGGTGGCTGTCCTGTTTTGAGTTCCAAAGGCAGATAATTGCCTAAAATATCAAGAAATCAGCCAATGTAGTTCCGCAGAAACTGTGTTCTTTGTTAGGCACACGCAGTGCGTCCTTAAGGGCGAAAAAAAAGAGATTCAAAGAGCCCCCTTTACCCCATGAATGTAAAATGTATTTTAAAATGCAAGTGTGTACTATCTCAAATTTACACATACTCTTTTACCTGTCTCCTTTTCGATCTAATTATTTAACCGAGAGTTATGCAGGGGAGTGCCTCTTATTTCCACTGTATTTTTACCAACTTTTCTTACGTTTTTATGACACACATTCATTTTCGCCTCTAGGAAGTATTTGGTAGCAACACTTTAATGATTACCTTAAATTTGTATTTCTGCCCGGGATTATGCCCTCATGTTGCACCAGAAATAATTCTGATTTATGGCAAAGTACACTGGAGTACAATAACAGCGATGCAAAAATAAAACCCACGCCTTTATATGTTGGCTTAGAAACTGTAAACTATCGCCACAAGAAATCTATCAAACTTTACAATCCCTCTTATTCGACTTCCTTCTTTCTGAGTAACTTAAGTCATAGAATTATGGAATGATATTATGTTCCTTGAGGTCGCATTGAAAACTGTGTTTACCTTTTCCTACGCTCAACATAACAGTATTCACACTCAAATGTACTGGTTACAGTCTGGTTAGCTTCCATTCCCTTTGATCACGAGGAGAAAATTTGGAGGGGGTAATTCATAATCAGGCATGTGTGGTGCGGTTGATGGAAGAAAATAAGAGTGTCAGAATTTTTTAAAAGTTTATTCCACTGGGAGTGTTTCCTGTGATTTTCCAAACTGCGTTAACACTCTGAAATGTTACCCAAATAATAGGATTGTTCGTATCAGAGGTCGTGAAGTCTGAGCAGTTGCTCAGAGAATCGGTATTCCTCTCTGCTTCTAAAACAATAAGCGCGTGGGGCCATATTTCGTGATAGAATTACACTTCTAAGCTAGAAGGAAAGTTGAAAAAGTTTTGAAAATTTGGTGTGTTTTATTTCTTGGGCATTTTCCTTTGAAAACAATGGAATTAGAAAGGGGAAAGA